ACACACACTTACACACACACACACACACACCCACACATACACCAAGGTAGGTCTGCATAAGTCAGTAATGACATAAATATATAACTGATATACACTAAGAAGCTTCAAATAGTTTCATCGTACATATATAAAAATAGTAAATCTACGGACTAACTACACACATTGCTCTGTACTGCTCCGTTATGTTAAAAATAAACTGAAACATAAATACTGTACAAAAGATTAAAAAAAACAACAACAATGGAATGATAAAGTACACATGGAAAACGTGCGCAGTGCTGGAAAATCTTAACTCTTAAAGAACCAGTCGCATCTAAGAACACTGGCATCTGAGGTGTAGTGGTCTTGCTCCTCACCGTTGCACGCAGAAGACGTGAGTTCGTATCTCTGTCTGTCTGCTGGGATATCGTATCCCACTCAGAATGGATTTCGCCTTTATCGGTGGATATAGTCAAAGCAACCCGCCACCAAAATGACCTACATTGTGTCGATTTGGGCGAAAAATATTTGCTTGTCTTTTTTAGCGAATTAATATTTCTAAACAATAAAATTGTAGAGCATGCTTGGTTTCTATAGTGTGGTATCTGTGTTTGGTCAGCAGAGCCTTCGACTCCCCTGCAAACAAAGGCTCATTTTTTCAGGTTTTTATGCCCCCATCTACACTGTTTACTTAATTTAGGCAGCGGGCTACTTCCATCCTGCCTGTCAGTGAGAACCGAGCATTGATCATTAATTATTTTTTTTGCATAAGAACTAGTTGATTGAAATTGTATCGATAGAGGTGTAACACACCCATAAGTATTTTTGTAAGAGTTCGTCGAATGTAATTTTCTAATTTAGAATTTTATAATTTTCTCCGTTTTTGTCCTGTGCACTTGGACCCCAAATTCCCTGACCACCAGTCTAGTCTTTCCAAACAGAACTGAGCATTTCCTACGACCTGGAGCCTTTCAAAGATGCGACTTTACCTTTAAGCAGACAATGCTGGAGAAGAAACAGCCTTGCGTGTGCTGATAACGTGTGCAAAGAGTGATTTATACAAATGAACGAATCAATGGAAAAACTTGTCTTGTAATATATTGGAAGTCTTGAAAAATCGCAAATCAAAAGTTCACAGACTGACACTGCAGTTTACTGTGTTAGTAAAAACCTGTCGTAAATCACGGGATGCTCTTTCGCTATTCTATTATAGCGAATTTATTGTACTTTGAAAGATTCTACTATGATATTTTCAAGTCCAAAATAAACACCACGAGAATGTCCATTGAACGTTTCAAATGTTAACAGGATATTCGTGCGAGAGTGCCATCTAAACTCTAATTTACTGATCACACACCCCTCCCCCTCCCCCTCCCCATTCCCCCAAGCCTCCATCACACCCCCTCTTGTCCCAGCTCGTCATTCACTCTGGAATTGGACTCACACAACTTCCACATCATTCAGATCATACGTGGAATATTCTGTCCTCCTGAGTAATATGCTATGTTGATTAAACACATAAAGAATCCTTTGTTGATGTGAAAACACTGTAAAACATTTGTCGGTCTACATACACAATGTTTTGGCAACAGTATAACAATGTCAGGTGTAGAGATATAACATGAATGCATAAATCTGCACGGCGTTGACAATTCCATGTTCAAGTTTCACAGTTTGCTTACTTCTGTTTTGGAACTGATCACTTCCAGAACCATGCCTTCCTCAGAAAAGTCTGCCTCCTTCTCCCCATCTTCCTCTTCCAGAATCACATTGACGCTGTTTCTACCACTAAGGTGAGTCACTCCCATTGAAGGAATCATCAGTTTTCTCGTTGCGAGGTCATCAGACTTTGACCTACTTAATCTGACCACCGTGTCTTTGCTCTCCGGATTCTTACAAGAATCAAAGCTTCCATATTGAGGTCTGGAGTTTGTGCGTTTAGCCTTTTTCCCCAAGAAAAACGCTTCTTTGAAATCGTGTTCCTCTATTGCACTTCCGAGAAGCTTTTCAGAGGGGAGACTGGTCCTTTTTACCTCACTGCCATTGGCATTGCTTTTGTTGTTATTATTGTTGTTGTTATTGTTGTTGTTGGGAGCTATCGTCCCATCATCACCAGCGCAGACACCACTACGAGTGTTGGTATCCCCACTACTCTCCGCTGCCACCGTCGGAGGTCCGGCTGTGACGTCAGTGGTGGTCAGCACAGCGCACGTGGTCATGTCACGTCCTACATTGCACGGGATCGAAACCTCCTCCAACCTGGACACGGACAAGGCGGACCCAGTGTCCGTGCTGACGTCACTGATACCTCTCAGAGCCATCACTATGGCAGAAGAGTTTTCATTTCCCGATGATGTGTCTGCGGTCACGTGAGCTGACGTCATTCCTCCTCCTCCCCGGCCCCCTGCCTGGCTTATGACGTCAGTCGTGTCCATGAGTTGTGTGAGATCTGGAGCCACGCTCAGTCCGTACCGCCGGTGGCGTTCTGTCGGAGTCGCCTTGGTCTTTGAGGTGGGGGGGGGGGGTAATATAAGATAAGATAAGATAAGATAAGATGAACCACACAGACAGACAGACAGACACACACACACACACACACACACACACACACACACACACACACACACACACACACACACACACATATATATATATATATATATATATATATATATATATATATATATATATATATATACACGTACACATGCGCAGACGCACTTACACAACAATTAGTTATCATAACGTTATTGCAATTGTAAATGTTTTATGCCCTCATTGATCCTATCTAGGCCATTTAGGGGACGAGCTGCTTCGACCCTGCCTGTCAGGGCTAACTCGGGCTGAGGATGATTGATTCAACGTCATATCAGATAGAGATGGCGATACTAGATTTAAAAAAGACCCTCCCCACTTGGAAATCGAACTGAGTTCTTCAGCGTGCGACAGCAAAAGCCAAACTGCTACAACTAAGACACCAGTATTAGTGAAATATGCATGGATATATCAAACATCCGTTGAACCGTTTGTTGGTAAAAAAAAAAAAATGTAATGTCTTGTACATGATAATATGATAAGGTCCTTGAGACAAAATGGACCACGATTAACTTTCAAACTTCTACTTTTTCCCCCATTAAATCACCAAAGGGAAGGAAAGGCGGTAGTAAAATAGGAATAAAGGTTTGAAAAAATCCCGAAAGAAGACAGGAAGAAATTACAGACAGCAAAAAAACCCACCAACAATACAATCAATCATTCAGTATCTCATCGCTTAGTCGCATCAGCAGAGGTCATATATCGAATGGACAAAAAGTGTCCATATTATGATTATATGAAATCTCACCTTCTGTTGCTGTAGTTTCCCGCGCAACCTGGACTTGGAGTGTTGCCTGGTGTTCACCTCAAGTATGGCGGGCTGACCAGGGATCTGGTGCCAGGACAGGGAGCGCGTCATCATAGGGATTGGCTTGGTCACGTGCACCATTGGTTGCTGGGGTGGAAGGGGGGGGCGTTGTTATTATTATTATAATTATTATTATTATTATTATTATTATTATTATTATTATTATTATCATCATCATCATCATCCTCATCATCATCATTATCATCCTCATTATCATCGTTGTAAACAGCAGAGAATAAAAGAAAGGGTTGAGACTTGTAGGATTTCCTAGAAAATTTTATATTGGTTCAACGTTTCGCCCGATCTCGGGCTTCATCAGGAACATACACAAAATAATGTTAAATCTAATTACTACTCTAGCTATAGGAACTAAAGTGCGCGCATCTATGTCACACTACTAAAGGGTGCGATCATTGTCATCATCATCATCATTTCTAATCATTACCATTACAGTTCAGTGTATTATTGTTATTGTATTTATCATTGTTGTCATTATTTACCTTCATTATTGTTATATTATTAATTTCAATATATCGTATATTATCATCATCATCATCATCGCCATTGTTATAGTAGAAGTCTCGACTCACCGATCTCTGCCTGTATAGTTTACTCTCCTGTGCTGCGTCCGTCTGTGTGCTCACAGTGCACGTGTTGATCTTTTTGTTGGACCGTTTCATGACGATGACGTCACTCATGCTGTCCGTGCTGGCGGAGGCAGAGAACCGCTTAGAGCGCCGTCTGCCGATTTTCTCTAGCGAGCCTGGGAATAGACGAGGGGCGAAATAGTGAAATGATAATACACTACTTGTTTTCATATTGTGAAAAGGCAAGAGGAATATAGTGAAAACTAATACATGTACTGCACGGACTGGATTACAAATAGATAGAGAAAAAAACAAAACAAAACAAAACAAAAATAAATAAAAATAGTGGAGAAGAAAAAGATTGAGCACACACAGGAAAAAAATGTGTTATAATTATTAAGTTGACCAATCTTACTAAATACAATGTAACTAGTTAGATTTTTTTCTGAGATTGATTGGCGAGTGCTCCCGTACGTGGTTTGCTCTTTTTTCCTATCAAACATCTGTCGTCCTGAACTTTCCTCCTTTTTTTGTGTTTGTTACTCTGTTGTAATACCTCTGATCAAACGGTGCGCTCCGCACTAAACTGGAAGCATTAATCCAAGGATGCACCTGCCTACTATGTATTGGTCAAGTTGCGTTGCCCTCCAGGTTAGCTAGTACAAAGCCACTAACTATGGCCTTTGCAACGCATTAATCCCTCCACTAGC